AGCAGGAGTCATAAAGTCAGGAAAGCAGGCAGGAAAACGGATCAGAATGGGGACAGGCAGGCTCAGAGGTCTGGAGGCAGAACGGGTCCGGATCAGGCAATCAGAAATCATTATGACTCGCTAGAAGAAACTCACCACAGCCTCGACTAGTCTGGCCCTGATGGCTGGTCTGAAGGCTGGTTAAATAGTAGCTCAAGAGAACTGGGTGGAGATCGGCAGGTGAATGAAATAAGTAATCAGACCAGACACCAGCTCTAAGATCATGACAGATTAAACACTATTAAATCAATTAATTGCTTCAGCACTAGTTTTGCAAAGAAATATCTGAACTTTTCAATTTCATGTTAAAACAATTGCAGCCCAGAAACAGAAAGAAACATACTTTCATTTATATAAGTGAGTCTGAACTTGAACAACATGCAACAACATAATGCAATCCAGAATCAAATAACTAGATTTCAATGGGACGTTACTTAAGCATTAGGTTGAGTTTTTGATCTGGTTAACTGGATGCCACCAGTACAATAAACCCCAAAAGTCATAAACATTTTGGGATCCTGTAGATATTTAGTTGTGACTAATGTACTCAAAGTTTACACTTCCTAGATCTATCTCATGTTTGACTATGTTGATATTTTTTAATCTACCACAGCATCCTTCATGAAAAAGTGTAGTTATAGAAATTAGTGTAAACTTTGTGTACAATTTTAAACAGTGTTTGTACTTTTCTTGGCAGAAAACCTTTAAAACTTTAGAGTTGATACCTACGATTTACTGTATTAACAGATATTAAATAACAGAACTAAATTCTCAGTCAATAATGTATCAGTAAAGGAACATTTTCTTGAAATGTTCAAAAATCTCAAACATTGAACAACGGTTAGTTGTCCGGCATGTGATGCATGTGTGAGTGTGAGCAGATTGTCCCGTCTCTCTCTCGGGCCAGATGGGTGTCGTTTGAGCGTTGAACCACTTGACATCACTGTCAGCTCTGTCAATTGACCTCTGACCCCAGGTCGCTTTGCACTGGGAGTTAATGATGTGTTCACAGCACTTCATAACTCAAGGTCCACACCATGAACACACAGACAGATAATGGGCAGACATCTTTGTTTTTCATGGTGTCAAAGTCGCACAAATTGTTTTGTTTTTAGTGTTTGTGTTTGTAAAACTGATCAATATCAGTCAAAAATTTTTTTAGAAATGGTTAAATGTGAAGTAGACTTTATATAGTTTGGTTTTATTAATTGTGCACAATAATTAAATTGAAAAGGATAAAAGAACATAAGGTTTGTCTAGTTTAAAAGAAACACAAGGTATTTTATTGGCAATAGTAGATTTCAGGATACAATGTTGTAGTTTTTACCAAAATGTTTAAAAATTACATTTGGCTTTAACCTCTACTATAGAAAACAGAGTTTAGGTACATAAAGTGAATTTAAAGATTCAGAGTAGAGCTG